TAGATACATTATATCATCCAGCCAATCTCACTACTCGTATACGTGAGGCAAATACGGTATTGTACTGTATGTAATGCAAATTCATTATCCCTACGGGTCTCCTCCGAGGTCTGGACCGGGTTATCTTTCTTAATTTGTACGACAAATTGCAAAGGAGCGGATTACGGAGTATGTTATTGTGATATCTTATGGAGTACATGTTACAGAGTATGTCTTTTTGGCTTTTCCCCCTATATCACCGACCTACGTTTATAGTATCTACATAGGTACGGAGTACATACATGTACATATGTCGGTAGACTACGTAGTACGTATACATATTTGTTTTGCTCGTGTGCATGGTTACTCGAAGGAATTACTCGAAGGAAACAGACCAACAACAGAATATATCTAGTTTAGCACACTAATATACACCACTTGCATATCAAAGTCATATAATTTCCCATGCACACTGTAGATCCCAACTTGCTTGCCGGGAAAGCCAAAGGGCCAAAAGGCTTGGTTCCGGATCCCCGTCATCATCCCCCCATCACCACACTCCGCATGACAATAAACTATATGGAGTCACCACCGTGGGGTGCCCCCTTTTTTCATTTCTTCCTTTCTACATCACAACATGACTGCAGTGGTGACCAGGCCCTTCTCTGAGGGCAAAACCGCGATGATCAAACCTCCGGAACCCGGCCCCTCGTCCCATTTCCACAACAATGGGAATTTGGATCCCTTTTCGCCAGTCAACGAGAATGGAAGCTTCGAATTCGATCGAGTCTTGAAGACAGGGAGAGTGTGTCGACGAGTCAAGCATAAACACGTCTTTCGCGCCTCATGGAAACCAGCCTACCTCGTCCTCCGACCGAACCTCCTTTCCGTATACAAGGACGAAGAAACCACCCGCCTCCGAGTCTCCATTCCCCTGTCTGAAGTGACCGCCGTCGCGCCCGTCAAGTCTCCCCGATCGACCCGGCGGCATGTTTTCGGTGTCTTTACCCCATCTACGAATTACCGCTTCGAAGCCCTGAGCGAACGCGACGCAGAGGACTGGATCGACCGCATTCGTGCCGAGACCCCCGGCGACGAGGACGAGCGAGCTTTCCTGGCTTTGACCAAAAAGCACGAACCCCCTGCCATCCAGAAACAGCTCGTCGACGAGACAACCGATCACTCCGACTTCGATCACACTGGCCGCGCCAGCTCTCCGGAGCCACGCCATCCGCTGTCCCCACGCAGTAAAAATGCCCAGAAACTCCCTTACATCCAGGATTACTCCGGCAACGAGATGGCATCGCATTCAGAGTTCTCTGATGGACCTGCGCCATCACGCAACATCTACCTACGATCTATGCCCTCCATCCATTCACTGTCCGTTTCAGCACTGGAGGATAAATCGGCACCCCGGCCGTCATCGTCTCTACCCCGAGATACCAGCAAACAAACAGACCCGGGCACTCTGCGTGACCCAGAGCGGGTAATCTGTCAGGGGTACCTGCAGGGGCTGCGCATCCAAGGAACCGTGCGTCAGTGGAAACGGCTCTGGGTTGTGCTTCGACCTAAGAGTTTGGCCTTTTACAAGGATGAATCGGAGTATGCTGCAGTCAAGATCATCCCCATGTCTCATGTATTTGATGCCGCAGAAGTGGACCCTTTGTCGAGATCGAAGACGTTCTGCTTGCAGATCATCGCCGAAGAAAAGACCTATCGACTTTGCGCCCCGGATGAAGAGTCCCTGGCGCGCTGGCTGGGCTCATTGAAAAGCATTCTGGCCGCGCGCAGGCGATTGGAGCCGTCTATGGCCACTTCTGTATAATGCCACTCGCTCTACGGAGTAGAGCCTGTTTTATTACTCTACCTATTCCTACTCCCTTCCTTCACCTCATCTTCCCTGCATCTCAGGAACCCTCTTTCATTATTTCTTATCTTTTAACTCTTTTCTTTCAATATACCCAGGTTGGTGATCTCGTTTTGACTGCTCGTCTCGCGGTGAGCTCCGGAGTCCTCGAAGAACGGATTGGCGTTAGTACCTTCGTGCTCATTGAGCACCCTGTTTTTTTTTCTACATTCATTTCTCCAACTGTCTATTGATTTCATTCATTGACACGATGCATTTTCATTGCATCCATGCTTCTCTCTCACTGTGGCATCCTCCCTTTTCCGTCGTCCGTCTTCTTCCATTTCAGTGTCTATATTGAGTACCTATTATGTATCATATTGCTTCAGGCTGTATGTACTACGCTAGTGCATAATATATAATACTCTATCAGGACACCATCATTCAAGTTTGGATTTAACCGTTCAGTGTAATTTTTCGAATGTCACAGATATGGCGCCAAGGTATGACTTATATTACAGAGGGTCAAACCAAGCTTTTGGTCGGCCTTGGCTGAGACCCCTCAATTTTAGATGTGAGAAATCAAATTTGTGACTCTTTTTGGAGTTGACTAGACTCGGCAAATCATCCGTCTACAATTGGGTTACAGATTTCGATTTCGTGGGGAGGTGGACTGAAATGCAGGCGCAGAAGTAGAGCCAATGAGAATGCTGAATGACGCTATACATAATCTATATCTTGGGAATACCAACCTGGAGAATACACTAAATGCTATGTGAGCAATACAAGAAATGTGTAGCAATAAATACAAGAACCCTCCCATGACCAAACTAACGCATTTCCTCTTCTTCAACGGGAATACTGTTATACTCACCCGAGAAGGTCCTGCCTGCATCAGTGGTGAGGTCGTCCTCAGGCTTACTCTCGTGTTGCACAACCAAGAACGACAAGAACACAATAGCGGCTCCAACCCAGTACAGAGGACTGGAGTATTGTGACTGTAGGACCATCTGTCCAATCAGGGAGAGCGGGATGGTCATACTCAGCCCGACTGTCACGATAAGCGGTGTGGTGAGAAGCATGGAGTAAGCCCAAGCAATGTCGGAGACAAATGATGCAAACGCGTTGGTCTGATAGACGTGAGGTTAGAATCAAAGGTGAGCAAAAGGAGTCGGAGCCATACCAGAATGATTGACCACACTCGCGACGTCTCGGGCAAGGAGAAGGGCTCAAGTCCCGTCCAGTGCATGATGAAGAAACCAGGCCACAGAAAGATGATGTTGAAAAATCCAACCAGGCCGAAGAAGAGTGGCATGTTTACCCGGGATTCGTCGCCAACCTGTTTCTTCATCACGACGGTATAAAGACCGTACAAGATGGCACTGAACGCTGCCATGGCATCGCCAAGGGCAATCTCCCCTGAGGATTTGTGTGGGAATGAACCCTCGCCACTATCTGCGCCCTCGCCTGTTTCTGGCTTGGAGAGATCTACGCGCGAAATCAGGATAATGCCAATCAGAGAAGCCAAGACACCCATTAATTTGCGCATCGTGAATTTCTCAACACGCAGCAGGGCGCCGAAGACCATAGTCCATACACCTAGAAGAGTGAGGGTGAGAATCTGATCTTTACACATCTAAACGGGGGAATCTTACCACTGGTGGAAGTCAGAATGGTTGTGCTTGCAACTGACGTGAATTGAAGACATCCCATGGCGAAGTAATTTGCCTATCCAAGAAATCTCGGTTAGTTCCCTTCCAACACATAAGCTTCCATATCGTGAGGTGTATGACATACAGTAAACTATGATAGGTTAGCCAGCTGATCATCTATCTAAGCCTCAAGGTCATGTGCTTACCCAGAGTAGACAAAACTGAATACTGAGTTTAGCTGTCGCTTTAAGCCCTAGCTTTCCGCTTGAAGGATCCTGTCTCTCCCGCGAGAATTGCCCGTCCTCTTCATCTGAGCCGCTGCGTAGTATCCTCTCCTCCTCGGCCTTAGGGTCATGCGAATCCAAATGGTTCAAAAAGCTCCTCAACGATGTGATCTGAGAAAGTTTCCCGTGACGCCAAAGAGCCCATGTTCGACGAGCGACGATGAAAATGAGAGGCATCATAAACATGGAGGTATTCGTGTAAGTTACGAAGAAAGGGTTTGGGTATGTTTTGTCGGCGAAGATAGTCTGGATGTCATTCGATGGGTAATTAGCCAAATGTTTGTAACAATGTATGTATTTTGCGTTAGAGGTTATGATTTCTCAGGAAAGGATGCGCATACACTTCCAAGGAAATTCGAGGTTGTCCACAGCACAACCACCACTAGGAGCAGGATGATTCCTAATGTTCGCCGCGCCATCCCCAGTGGCATCGTGCCAGGTGCTTCGTGTGTGGTCAAGGTCATGGTTGTTTTAGTTATTTTAGTTGCTTGTGAGAGGGTTGAATCTGCGCGACTCGTCGAGGCGTAATACTGGTGAAGAACCTCGTGCCGCCGATGTCGCAATCGCTACGTTTGCAGCCGAGGATGCCGAGTTGGACGGGATATCAGTCGGACTGCTGTCATCTGAACATCTGAAGCGTAACGAGCAAAGATCTCTGTGCAGAAGCAAATGAGTGTCACGAGACTTCCTGCCTAAATATATGCGCTGAAGAGAACACGGGGTTATGCCAAGCATTCGCAAGATAAGGGTCCGGGTGGGGAGAAATGTAGTCGCCGATATTATTTCGGTACTCCGTACGGAGTACATTTATTTGTAGTAATTAACCACGAGCTACATCAGCCTACATGTGATAAATACACATACCTTATGGCTATCATAAGAAATAATCTGCCCTGGTGATGACGGATCATCTGATGGTACTAGATTTACTTCGAGGAAGTATGCGATCAACTGCCTATTACGGAAAAATGAAGAAGGAATCGCATTAAGCCTAACAAAGACATTGTCTGCATAAAACCGATCCGAGAAAGGGTTGAGTAAGAAGTTTCTCTCTCAGGTGAATTTCACAATTGAAACCAAGACATCTACAAGACACCGGGGGAATGGCAAGGTCATCCAAAACAAACCCCGTGGTCTTCTTTACAGACTCAGGACCGGAGACCAACCAAATAGTAGTAGGAAAAAAGGAAAGACAAAGGAAATAGGTCGCTGGAACATCATAGGAATTGGAAGGGTATATCAACAGGCACAGCCATCACGGTCATTGTCCAGATGGATGTTGATTGGGTCGCTGAATTCACCGCTGAATTCCTCAGCCTCTTCCTGGGCAAGTGCACTCCGCGCGATAACTGAATAGTGATTAGCAATGTCGGGAGAGAACAGATTTTGAGCAAAGTAGCTAGGGAATTTGACTCACCTTCAAACGCCTGCTCGACGTTGACAGCTTCCTTGGCACTGGTCTCGAAGTAGGGAATGTTACCCTTCGACTGGCAGAAAGTCATGGCCCGTTTTGAGGAGATCATACGCTTGTTCTCCTCTACATCGATCTTGTTACCGATAACAACCTGCTCATGACTATTAGCACGGACCAACATATCATTTTGCCTGCTGCTGCGGTGCATGAGACAAGGAAAAGAAATGCAGGAACACCACTTACGAATGGGAAACTCTCTGGGTCCCTCGGGCTTGCCTGGATCAAGAACTCATCTCGCCAGCTGTCGAGAGCCTCGAAACTCTTGGAGTTGTTCACATCATAAACCAGGACACAGCAGTCGGCTCCACGATAGAAGGCGACTCCCAACGACTGGAACCGTTCTTGGCCCGCAGTATCCCAGATCTGACACCTCAAAGTTAGTTACTGCCCCTCATCACGAGATTGTGCTACAGTCTCTAGCGCCTTACCTGCATTGTCACGAGTCGGTCGTCAACGAGAACCTCCTTCGTGAGGAAATCTGCTCCGATTGTGGCCTTGTAGCTTCCACTGAACTTCTTATTGACCTATTCAGCTCATAAAATTGCATGTTAGCGGTTATAGGTCTTCGGGGCCGACCGCGGTACGGCCATAGGCTAGTTTGGGACGAGATTGAACGGACATATTGGTTCATCAAACTTGTTTTTCCCACACCACTGTCACCAAGGATAATAACCTAGATTTTCAAAGACGCCAGTTAGCAAAAAAGAACACCCCACATATTGAAAGATTCAGTGCTCATCACACGGATCAGATGCGGGGATTGTACCTTGAGGAGGACCTTCTTCCTTGACGCCATGGTTGGGGATTGGCCAAGTGACCGAGTGTAAATGTGCGAGGAATAACCGTAAGTTCACTATTAAGCAAAGACCTATAAGCAGTCTTCTAAGCCTTTATAGAACAGATAAGGAAAAGTTAGTTGGAGAGTTGGGGTCGGGTTGCAGCCGGATTCGATGATGCATGAGGAGAGCTGGGCGGTGGAGCGGGCGGTGGGCAAGTGATAACGATTAGCACATCTGACTTCCCCGAGCGGCAACCAACTCCACTTCATCACTTCCAGGTACATTTGCTTGGGAAGGCTTATGGCCCACTGGAGGGAGGAGTACTTGGCTGCCCTGACAGTGCGAGACCAACGAGAGAAAGCAAATGCTACTCTCTATGATGCCTGTCAGTCTATTATTGATGCTTTTTGTTGAGCGATTGCGACTGACATCATTTACCAAATCTAGATGCCCAGCTTGCAGATCGCACCAGCAAACTAGTAGCAGCAGCAAAACTTACCAGTCCTGCAATAGCGCAGAGTGAATCTCAACCCACTGTCCCATCTCCTATAGTTGCACCATCTAAAAGGCAACGATCGACTGAGCCAGACTATACCCCGACTGATCTTCTCAATACTACCCGTGCAGACCTTTCCGAGGCACAGCGATCCCGCTCGGAATTACAAGATCGCTTGAATCGGGTGAACACAGAAGTGGAAACACTTCGCAAGAAGAGTTCGCAAGAGGCTCGACGAATAAACGCTCTTGAAAGCGAGAGGGCACATCAAAAGCTACGATTGGCGGACAGAGATGCGGAGCTGAAAGGAAAAGCCAAGCTGCTAGAGGTAGGCTGTTTGATATTCACATAGGCTTTCTAATCACGCAAGGATGAGCGAGGGAAAGTGGCTGACATACTTGTGCGCATTTCTGCAGGATTTCCAAGATGAACTGGCGACGCTAAACCTTCAGCTTAATATGGCAGAAGAACGATCAACTCGACTTAAAAATGAGAACAAAGACCTAGTTGATCGTTGGATGGCCAGAATGGGTCAAGAAGCCGAGGCCATGAACGATGCATCGAAGTATTCCTGACTAGTCCTAATGCACCGAGCAGGTGACAGGGCCAGGTTGCTAGAATAGAACGGAGTCTAGCTCCTGCGGCATTTATATATCGAATCATGATAGCCACTGCAAAAGCGGTAGATATATATGGTGATGCGGCTACATTAAGCTTGCTAATCCTTCCACTGAATGCCTGAATAGCAGGTGCTGTACAAAGCCCGCGCGCGGTCCATGACCTACTTCCCTATAATCAATCGGAAAGCAATGTAAATAGCTAGCTCCCCAACCACATCGTCCCTGTTCAACTCCTTGAGAGCCTCGACAAGTCCTGATAATTATATACCCCCATCAAGTTGCATACGATAAGCCGCATAGCCAGTGCCTACGTCCCGCGATAATCTAATACGGTCCTCTTAGGTCGCGTGCCAATTACCGACATGCCATTCGAATATTCATACTCCGTAGCTCTAAATAGTGAGGAATAAGAAGGCTAAACCAGGTTTCTCACTGCAAGGGCCTGAACTTGAAAAGAATATTCGTTTTGTACAGTCAGGTTGTCAGAAAATGGTATCATACAAAAATAAACAGGGAAAGTATATCCAATAACGGACAAAGTAATGTACAAAAGTGCCAAAAACCAAATGTATGTGCCATGCAAAAATACCAAACTAGCCATTGAAGACTATGGCGTATCATCAATGAAAGCTTTCAGCCGAGAGCTGTCTTTAGTGGCAATGAAATAGGTACCACCAACGTCAGTCCAGCTCACGTTGTTCGACCAGTAATTCTTCTGCTGGACCTTGAGGAGATTGATCGGAGAGTTCAGGTTGCGAGACTGGATTTTGTGACCAGCGGGAACGAAAGACTTGAGTGAGACAATTTTGCAGCCTTCTTTCATATCCAAAAAGTGGTTGATCAGCTCATTGTTCAGTTGTGGGGTGAAGGCCTGGTTGTTGATAAGCACCACGTCAGCCCGCTTCAAGACGCTTATGATACTCTCCTGCTCAAGAAAGTCACCTCGGACAAGATGAGTTTTGCCTGGCGCAATTCCCCACAGCCGGCATCGAGCCTTGAACTCGGATTGCTGCAAATCTGCCAAATCACATGCGTTTGACATCATCTCGCAACCCCAACTCTCACAGCCAACTTCGAGTGCCGCCTGAAGAACGACATTACCTACGCCCGAGCCAAGATCAACAAAGACTTGGCCCGATTTTAGCTTGGTTTCTTTGAAAATTGTGCTGATAAAGCGAGGGAGAAGCTCTCCGTAGACGTTGTCCGTGCCATTCTCGTATTGCCGGAGTGACTCGACTTGAGGGGATACCGTGCGCGAGTAAATTTGAGTGAGAATTCTTTCCACCCAAGGTAAACCAATGCCTTGTTTCGCATCCAAATGCTTCGCAAGACTGCCGTTGGTCCTTAGCCGCTGGATAGCCTTATTGTAATCATCGACAGCTTCCCGGAATTGAGTCTCGGATGTGACAGCCAGAGCCCGACGTAAGCGGCGCCTGATCCCCGTCGTCTCGTCGTTAAATTGATCAGCCTCCTCGCTGGGAATGTAATTATCGCAGACCGTTTCGATGACTTGAACAATGTCGTCGATGGGTCGGAATCCGTCACTTTCTCGGGGGACTACAGAGTCATATCTGGCCGAACAATAAATTAGCATATCGGTGTCCAGAAATCAATAGTCTAACCAAACGTACCTCTCCTGCTGCGAAGCACTGGGGTATTGCAGGAGAATCTCTTTGCGCTTGCCTTCGGCGCCAAAGGCGGGCTTGAACTTGCCGGACTTCTGACCCGACGTTATATCCGCGGCATGTATCATTTTAAACGGGCGAGATCCTTCTTCTGAAAACGCCTTCGCCGAGCGGAGACGCCGCTCCGGGTCGGGTTCGGCGCTGGCGCTGGTCCTCGCGCGTTTGTGCACCTCAAACGAGGCCTCGCTGTCGCTGGCGTCATCGTCGCTCGAGAGTCGTTGCTCGGGTGTCGGCCTTTTCCGAGTGCGCGAGGAAGTACTTAGTCGTTTTGCCGAGCGTGCTTCCAGGTCACTAGAGACCGATCGAGATTTCAACGCCCGCGCCTTCCGGTTCTGCTCCGCCGAGGACTGGATTCGAGGTGATCGAGTATCCGAGGGTTGGGTGACTGATCGTGTAGGAGCTGCAGGTCGAGTCTGCACAACCTTGCGAATTTGCGCCTTCTTTGGCTGTAGTGAGAAGGCCCCGGCCCCTCCTTTCTGAAGGTGGTCGAAAAAGCCCATATGGATAGGGAAAGATAGATATAAACAAACTAATGCAGAAAGGAAATAATGTATGCAAAGTATGCAATAAAAACTAGTCAAACGATATAAGTATAATGCGAGCAAGAAGGAAGCGGGAGAAGAAAAGAAAAGAAGCAGGGCTTATCGATTAAGGCGCCACTCGGGGAAACCACGCGATCCCGCGGTCCTTGGCACTTACTTGGCGCTTTTGTCTATAGCCTCATTTCTTCTACAGGCGTCTAAATGGATCTACATATATGTTGTTCAAATGTTCCAAGGTTACCATCTGGCTATCAAAAGTCAGATTATATATGTAAATTATCCGATTCAAACATTTGAACTATGAACTATGGACACTCTCTCTATTTCTTCGACTTCTTCTTTGCCAGCCTCTTCTCCGCACGAACATCCTTCTTCATACGAGCATCGACAATCTTGTACTTGCCCTTGACACCCTTAGGACGGCCAGAGATACCACGATTGGGACCCTTGGCCACCACGAGCTTGACTTCCTGCTTAGGCTTCTTCTTGGTTGCCCTGCTCATCAATCTCGCGATTGCGCCGGCCTTGTCCCGCTCGCTGAGAGCATCGTCCTCTGCCAAAAGTGCTGACTTCTTGCGCAGTTTCTCCAGTCTTTGAGCCGCCTTGTACTTCTTGCGTCCTTGGGCCTCCATCACCTTCTTGATCGGGCGGGCATTGATGGCACGCATCTTTTCTCTGATAGCATCCGCGGCAGCCTTGGTGATGGGGCGGACAGGCCTGCTGTGCTTGCCCTCGTCGTCGAGGAACCATTCGGGAAGGCCGTCCACGTCGCGGAAGGCAAATCGGTTGAAGCCATCGTCAACAATATCAGTCGACCTTTTCTCTCCAGTAGCCATTGCCTGTGCAAGGGCCATGGCTTCTGCGGTAATGATGTCGATGTCTGTAGGTTGAGGAACAAATGTTAGTCAAGACGTTAATCATGTTTAGCATCAAACTTACCTAGCTGGCCATTCGCTTTGAGTGGATCTTTTCCTTCTGTCTGTTCCGCCTCGCTCTCATCGGACTCGTCGACCCAATCAGAGTTCTTCTTTCCGTTCTTTTTGTTCTTTTGTTTGGAGGTAGGAATCTTATCCTCTTCTTCCTCATCCTCATCCATCGCAAAGATGTTGTCGCTTTCATCATCTTCCTCTGCCTCTGCCTCCGCCTCCGCCTCTTCTTCTTCTTCCTCCTCCTCGCCCTCTTCTAGGCCTTCGAAGATATCTTGATCGAAGAACATGGAGGCATTGTTTGAAAGTTTCTTAGCAGCAAGTGCTTGACTTGTAGTGGCAGTTTCATCATCATCCTCCTCCTCCTCCTCCTCCTCCTCCTCATCACTGCTGCCTTTCTCTCTGTCAGAAAAGCCTTCCCACTCGTCGACTTCGTATTGCTTGCGTGTCTTTTTAGCACGCAATTTCGAGTCCTTGTCCTCCAGGCGGCCGGTGTACTGCTCGTACATCTGGTCGAGCTCCCTTTCAAGACGGTCCTCCTCCTCGTCACTCTCTTCGGTTTCGGACTCGGGTTCGTTTTCATTTTCACTGCCGCTCTCGGTAGGAAGATCACGAGCATTGACAACCGCATCTCTGGCATTCTCCCGGTCGACGCGTCGCAAAGTGAATGTGGTGTCGTCGCCTCCCATACCAAGCTGCTCCATACCAATTTCCATGGGAGTGGTCATGTTCATCTGCATTCGAATGA